GTGTCTGTGACTTGTTGATGATAGATTTAAACAATAAACAAACAGCACACAGTCCACTTGTTTTAAAATAATATATTAAAACAAGTCAAACATATATACAAATGTTCATTACGCAGTTAATCACCATAGTTGTATCCAGAACTTTAAATAATTGTCTCTTTTGTCGAAAGTCCACACAGGTTTGTTCAATTACTTTAGAAGACAGTTGACAAGACAAATTATTCTACTCTATGTTTTTACCATACAGTCAGTGATAATTTCACTTATATTACACTGTTAGTTACCACACTTGTATCCAGAGCTTTAAATAATTGTCTCTTTTCATCAAAAGTCCACACAGGTTTGTTCAATTACTTTATAAGACAGTTGACAAGACAAATTATTCTTCTCTACTATGTTGTTACAATATAATCTGCAATAACTTCACTTTAAAAAAGCACCACTATACACTCTTTTTGGCTAAACTTACCAACACATAGTCTAGATCTATTAGACAATATCTTTCACTAACTTTGTCCATCTTTGTCTTACTTAACTTCCTGAACTAGATTTTGGATGTATACTTATAAATAGCCCAACTGAACCTAGAACTTTTTACACACTATGAGAGTGAGACATTAAAATGTAATAAAACTTGAGAAAAACTTGGAAGGTTCTAGTAATGTCATGCAATAATACAACAATCACCTATTTACGACAGTTGAACTAGATAAAGTATGATTCACACAATTACTTAACCCTATGGCCTCTGGTGCAATTTTTGAATTTCTTTCTCTGTATGGTACAGCATTACATTCAACATTTAATTAAACCACTTTACTGTCAATATGTGAAAATGCAATTAACATTATTTTGTATGCTATAACTTGAATTTTTATGTTTTCAAAAAAATACTTAAACTGCAGTTTTTATGTCACGTGATCCATGTGCTTTGAAAAAATCTCTACTTTTGCACCATTTCTCTCTTAGACACACAAGCTGGCATGTACAGGAGTTTCTACACACTAAGTACGTATGTTTGACTTAATTGTCACGTGAGGTCTACTGTTCCCCAGTGGGACAGCAGTAAGTCTTCGGATTTACAATGCCAAAATAAGGGGTTCGATTCCCCTCGGGGGACACAGCAGATAGCCTTATGTGGCTTTGCTATAAGAAAACACACACACACACGCACAAGTCTGGGAAGAAATATAAATTTTTCAACCCTTGACTGTTGCCATGCTCACCTTCTATAATTTGTCTTGAGATCCACAACATACATGTAGTTAATTGACACAAGTGTATATAGTCATTAGAAAGAGCTCAGATTACACTACGAAAGGTTAATTTGAAATTAGTGTGCAGTTTTCCTTACAGTGTACTTGTAACTGCCATTCGTATTGTTGTATGCTTGATTGACTATAGCACGTATGGTAGTTTCTTACCTAAATATGCCGTAGTTAAAGAGATAGTTAAATTGTATTTAGGTCTTACTTTTATATTTTAATTAATTATATATTATGTTTGTTTTAAAAATCATACTTGAACAGTTTAATGATTTATATAAGTTTAATTTGCCTCCTGGATTTTGAAAGGGTATAAACAAGATGGCATACAAA